TGGAAGCTGTACGGACCTGTTGGTTGTTTGGAGGAGCTTGTCATGCTGGCTTTCCTGATGAACTTGGCTGTTTTCATCCTCTGAGGAGCTTGGGACCTCGCTGGCACTGAGAATGGCTTCGGTTCACTTTGGGGAAGCTCTGGTCCTCACTCTGAGCATCGCTTCCTGGCTCCGGAGGGGAAGATGGTACACTGCTGGTCTTCTGGAGAAGCTTGCTGCGTTGGCTTCCCTGATGGGAACTCAGCCATCTTGATCATCGGAGGAGCTCAGGACCTCACTGTTGCTGAGGATGGCTGTGGTACCTTTCAGGGGAGCTCTGGTTCTTCTGAGCATCACTTCCTGGCTCCAGGGCAGATCCCTCAGCCTGCTAGCACAGATCTTTCACCCTGCTGGCACAGACTTCCTAGATTCCACCACTGACCTTCAGGCCTTTGCAGCACAGATCCATGAAACAGGCCTGCATGAGATATTGTTATAGGCTCTGGGCCTCCAGGTGGACTCATGGGAGGCACTGTTATGAGCTCTAGGTCTTAAGCTGGACTCATGCCGGACATTATCACAGGATCCAGGCCCTCAGCTGGATTCTTGGTCTATAGTGTGTAGACAGATGTCCTGCACTCTCTGGTATATCATTCTTTGGGTGACTATTATAAGCAATCTTACAAAATGTGTGTCCTGTATTATATTGTTCCCCTTGCAAAAATATCTCCCAAACCAATACACAGGGCAGTTGAAAACCTTGGCTGGGAATTATTTTTCATGTTAGTAAAGTAAAAGAAAGTTTGGAAATCTTTCTGTCTGGGCTTCCTCTTCTATTGACATGAATCCAGTTCCCTCACTTATCTTCTCATGCCCCTTAACTTGGTAACATTCCAATAAACTTCACTTTGTTGGTCTTGGGGTTGTGGGAGGCAGGCTGGCTTGCTTTATGTTTCAATGACTTTATTTTGCCTCTGACAAATACTCAGTGGCAGGCCTTGCTGGTGGTAAGGGTGCAGGTATAACCCACATTTGTTTTCTCTTGATGAACCCCAAAACAATCATAAATAGCTGTCATTCACTTATTATTCTGGGAGCTTCCAACGACCTTCACAGAGACACACAAGACTCACAAGGCCTTACATCTCAGCATCAAAACCCATTCCTTACGGTGGAAGCCCAAGCTCAGGGCATGGCTAGTCCTTCCTGTGCATCTTCTTTGTGTCTTCGAAGGGAGGCTTTGTATTTTAATAGTGGACAGTGGTTGTTTTCCTTTCTACATGGTGGTGAGCTGTTCAAATGAATGTTTTCTTTTTTCATTTTTTGGTACTAGGAATTGAACTCAGGACCTTGTACTTCCCAGGTAGGCGCTGTGCCACTGAACTGCATTTCCAGCCCCTAAATGAATGCTTTCAAGAGACTGTCTAAGCTGCCCTGCCTGTGTTCAAGTGGCCAGAGAGGAGTGGGATGCTAAACAGCTAGTCCTCATTTTGCTTAAAAATTGTGCATGCAAGGAAGGCACTGGAACCAAATACATCCAACTGTTAGCAGGACTTTCCTCTCCATAGTAGGAAAATGATTTTTTTCTTCTTTATACCTAAGTTTTCCAGTTCTTTTTTCCATGTAATAAAAGGCACATATGTTATTTTTGCTTTATTCCACACATTTTTAGTAGATGAATCCTTCGAGTGATTCTTGCTCTTTTTTATTTAGAAAATTGCATTTTATAGATCAGACCTTAAATGTAAGTGATGGGACTATTTTCAATGCTAGTGCGTATATTTTAAACAGTGCATTATTAGTGTATTGGAGTTGGCCGTAACTCATTTGCTGGTCTGTCACTTTCTAAAAATGACTCCTTTTGATGTCACCCATTCATCCAAACATGATTTTGAGACTTTCTAGAAGAACCAGATGAAAATTGCCCAGTGTCTGCTTCCAAGAAAGACCAGTGATCCAGGTATGGTGAGGCTTCCTAGTAATCCCAGCACTCTGGGCAGCTCAGGCAGGAGGATCTCAAACTCAAGCCCCGCCTGGCCAGTTTATCAATTTAGCAAGACCTTGGCTCAAAAATAAAAGAGTCTGGGCAAAGGCCTTGGGTTCAGCCCCCAGTACAGCAAAAATAAAACTCAGCAAGGTTGAGAAACAGACCAGTAAAACAGGAATCGGTGAGGAGGGGGATTTCACCGGAGAGGCATCAAGGGGTGCTTAGGAGCTCAGAGGAAGAGGGCCTTTGCCAGTGTTAGGGTCAGAGTTGTGGTGACCCTCAGACAGCACGCACACATGGTAAGTCAGGCAGACAATGCCTGTCTGATTACAGATAAGAATTTTGAAATCAAAAAGGCAAAGCAGTTAACATGGGCTACGAGGGCTCTGTGTTTCATTAGAAAGTTCACCTTTTCAGCGTTTCCCTTCCTTTCTGTTTAGTTGGGCTTCCAAAAAGATGCCAATAATCCTAAAGTGGGACCGCTTAATCCTGCAAGAATCAGAAGGAGGTGTGTTTATGTCATCTCGAACTGCATACCCATTTATGTAGTGCTTAACACGCATTTTGGTCACTTTCCCCCTTCCTGTTGGATTCCCCCACCTCCCCTCACTTTGTCGATGGAGACGGGTATTTTTGTTTTCATGTTAAAAGGGTAAATTGAGGGGCTGGGGATTTAGCTCAGTGGCACAGCGCCTGCCTGGCAAACGTGAGGTTGTGAGTTCAATTCCCAGTACCAGGAGTGGGGGTGGGGGTAAACTGAGTCACCAGACTTCTCCAGATAATGAGTCCCTGAGGGACCTGGAAAAGAGATGGTAGGGCTTCCTCTGTGCAAAGCTCTGGCTTCTGAAGTCTTTCTCCCTATCTGTGGGGCAGGTTGTCTGCCAGAAATGCACTCACTCTTTCAATCTTTACTGAAGGTAATGAGCTTAAGATAATCGTATTGTTACAGCTTAGGACAGACACTCAAGCTATTTGAGTAGATTAAAACGAGTCCTAAATGAGGCTTAATATTTGGTCGGATTAATTTATTCAGCACTAACGTTTGGTTTCTCTTCTGGAAAAAGTATAATTGAAACATTCCCAGGCCACATCTGAGAACATCTGAGATCAGTTTTGATTATTTTAAAAAGTATTTAAATAAGATGGACCGGAATAAAAAAATCAGAATTGACAACATGTATAATTCATGCTACTGGTTGATGATGACTTCATAATCAAAAGATTCTCCTGTAATCTATTGATAAAAAATAATGCTCTTTTGATGTGCTTAGTAATTATTTTAACAAATAATATTCTAATAATAATAAATGATGACCATTATGTATCTTACTCTAAAATATCTTAAGTAGCAGTATAAATAAATATGAAAAACTAAGGTGCTGAGGATTTAGCTCAGCGGCACAACACTTGCCCAGCAAGCGTGAGGTCATGAGTTTGATTCCTGATACCGGGGAAAAAAATATATATATATAAAAAAATAAAAAATAAAAATTTAAAAACTAAAAGCATATATATTTCATTGGACTAATAGTTGAATCCCATCATACTCATTTTATTAGATGTTTTCCTTCTGTTTAAAATATTCATACATTTTAGGTTACTTATAGAATAAAGCATATATCATATTGTTATTTAAAATAAGTATTTTATTGATTTAAATAAGGAAAGGTTTGCGTTAATTGGCATCTTAAAAATTTAAGAGTAAAACAACGATTTCATTCTATTGTACATAAAACATCGTTTTTATTTACCACAATTATAGTGATTTGATTTTTGTGGTGTTACCTGAAATTACTTAGTTTTTGGTTCCTGTCACAACCAGGCCCTAATACTTAATATGAGATCCACTATGACCGTGAAATACTGCTCATCAGTCTCTCACTGGAGCTTTTCCAGGAAAAAAGATGAAAACAAAAAACCAGGATAGGTTACAAATTTCAGAGAGATTTAAGCTGAAGCCTACATGTTGCCTGGGGCTCCAGCATGTGTGTAACTAGACCCGGTGACAGCAGAGGGGAGTGCATAGTATCCACCCTGCTGCATTCATGCTGAGGTCTGGGGTGCTGAGTTTGAAGGATACAGAGCTCCCTGCTGATGGTCAGCAGCCAGGCGGTAACTGTCAGTCTCACCTGTTCAAATGTCACCGTGGGGCCTTTTGCTCTTGAACTTTGAACATTACAGGCATGAAAATAGACACACGCAGAAAAAAGAAGGTGCCGTCTTTGAAAAGGGCAGGAACACTGACCAAATCCACTGAATAAGTACCAATGTTAAAAAATGGGAAAACTCTGCAGATGAGTGAATTAACAATGCCAGGGTAGGAAATGATAGAAAGATTGAACACAGCTAAATGACAACACTGGGAAGCTTCAAGGGGCTGTGGAGGAAACCCCATGTGGGGTGAGGGGGTCTGAGAAGACAGCATGAGTTTTCAAGATCCAGACCTGGTTCACCATTACTTGCGGCAATTACCTCAAGCAGAGAGGAGATAACATGTGGGATGCATTTATGTGCGTATTGTGTGTGTTATAGTTCTCAGTGCAGATAAGCTTGCCTATTGGAGTTAGCATAAGCAGGAGTAAGAGAGTGAAATAGGAGATCACATTTCCCTAACTGTACACTTCCACTCATGTTGAGTTCCTTTATTCCTGTGGTGTAGGACAGTGAGTACTGGTGTTGAACCCTGAGCTTCAATCCTCACTCCACCATTTGTTCTTGACCTTGTAAAAACTAGTGAATTACTTGGGTACCAACCTCAGAGACTATTGTGGAGATTAAGTAGGTTTGTTGTGCACTTATAATTTTTAGAGCAGTGCTGCAATTCAGTGTCTGATAGATGATAGGGATTAGTACTAGTGCTGGTGGTTTCCAACTACTTTAATTAATGAATTAATTAATTCACTCATTCCTTCATTCACTCATTCATTCAATTGTAGCACTAACTAGGTTCTTGCTGAGAAGTAGCAGAGCTGCATCAGAAGCCTGCTTCAGAAAGCAAAGAAATAACATGCATTTGCTGTCTTCTCCCTTCTAGTAGCGGCTCCCTCTCCTCCTGATCATCCTGCCCTGCTCACCTCAGACATCAAGAGCTGTGCCCTGAACATCGAATCCTAAGGAGTTTGTCAGCCTCACCGACACCTGTCTTGGCATGCGGGGAGAGTCCTACTTCATCGGCATGAAGAGCCTGGGGCCGCCAGGGCACATCCCCAAGGATGGAGGACTTTTCTTACTCTGCTGTGTAGACAGAGACTGGGCCATCACACGATGCTTTGCCGAAGAAGCCTTTCAAGCGATCACTGACTTCAACGACCTCCCCAATTCCCTGTTCGCGTGCAACGTCCACCAGTCTGTGTTTGAAGGAGAGGAGAGCAAGGTAAGAAGTCTCTGCTATCTCTGAGATGTGGGAGATGTGGCGTTATCTCCGCATGGCCACTTTGCTCACCAGGGGCTGTTTGGAAGCTGTCAAAAATGTGTGGTTGGCTCTGATGTTGTGTGTGCTGCAGGATGAGCGGCCCCTGTTCTGTGATCGGGCAGCATCAGCGGTTCCCCGACAAGGGGTGCTGTGACAGTGTTGAGTCAAGTGTGGTTCTCTTCGATCCCGGGGTCAAGTGGCTGAAACAGGTATTAGGACCATGGATTGGAAAAGACACCCCTTGGGCTAGGAAGCAGATGTTTTAAACACTAAATTTTTCTTTCCTTGACCTCTCCTGAAGACATAATTTGACTTCCTCAAACCAGCAGAATCTCTTTTTAGCCCTTTCTCCTCCTGTGTTTTGATGCATGTTGTAAAAATGTCTTCTTGGCTTGTGACTCAGGTCCCACAGAGTCCCTGAGAGGGGAGGGTGGTGGCCCTGTGAGTTCTTCACTTTTCGCCACGTGTGCCTCGCCAGGGTTTGAACAGAGGGGTGATGCCTTGATTTGAAAACAGTGAGGAATGCGATTTTCTGTGTGTGAACATTTTCTAGGCACAAATTTGATTCAGACACAATATTCTTGGAAATCATAGTACCTATTCCATTTGGAGATCTCTCTAAAGTTTCCGTGCAATTTCTCAAACCTCAGCAAGATACCAACTGGATCCAACCTTCCCTCCTTGGTGGGTATTCCTGTTGTAAATATCCACTAGCGTAGGTTGTAAAACACAGGCAGCCTTTTGGGATAGGAGGACTCTTTTTCTAAACTGTAGTGGATGGCTCTGTGTGAAGCACAGAGCAGGATTTATGAGTACTCTTTTATAAACTTGAGCTCTCTCTGCCAACTTCCGAAGCCCAGGCCTTGTTGACTGAGGACAATTAACTGGAAGTCTGATTTCTGGGTTTGAGTGATTTGTACTCAGGGAAAAACATTGCAGAGGATTAGGATACTCTTTCAAGTCATTTGATGACATAATAATATTATGTTGGAGTTGAGCAATTGAAATGATGGGCTGGGAGTAGCTTGAAGTGGAACCAACTGCATGTGATTAGAACCTCAGTGGCTATGATCCCTAGACTGCTTACAGTAAGAAAGTAACAAACACCAAGAAGAGACAGGAGTTCTGTTCTTGGATTATAACACACTATAGTTTATTCAGGGTGAGGAATATCCTCTGAAGTATTCCCACCAGCCACAAATTATAAAACAAGGGTCCATATTTTCTTGTATTTTTTTATTTATCCAAGCACCAAAATTAGAAAGATTTTCCTTGGAGACTGAATGGTGGTTTCAGTTCTTTCCTAATTAAATACTAGGAGATGGATGAAATAAGATTTAGGGTTCTGTGTGGTCATGCGTTTTTTAGGAGTTCTGCTGAAGAACAGCTCATCAGTTGACTCATTTAGGGACATGAGAGGATAGAGTCTGGGGGACCATTCCTGAGACTCTCCTCACATCTATTTTGGTCCTTTGATCTGTCTTGGGTGATGGGCTACAAAACATTTTCGGTCAGTTGGTATACAAAGTTGAGAAGTAGTATTTGCTTTTAAAACAATCTTAACAAAATATTGAGCCAAAATAAGGCATAGTTTATTGAGATCAGTTTCAAGTTATCAAGATCCTGTGTTTATAGCCAATGAGGTGAATTTTACAATTAGCAGCATTCATATCATGAACCATATTAAATCAGATGGAAAATGTGATCTTTGAACTCCATTTGTGTTTCTAGGACACAGAATAAGTGGACAGAGGCTCAGCTTTGATTGAATTGTGTCTGACAGGTTCAGGGTGGCAATGAAGGATAATCAGACACCAGGTAAACTGAGGATGGTCAGGAGGTACGACCACTGGGACTCCAAGGAGAAGAGAGTAAGGAGCCTCCTGGCACCACATTTCCTTGATCCAAAACTTCCCAGTGCTCCCCATAGTTTGGACCTGGAATTCCACCCACCCCACTTGAAAGCCCATGTGTTGAAATCTCACTCCCCAGAGCAGGGCAGGAGGCTGTGACCTAGCAGAGGTCTTCAGGTCCTGGGGTGTGCTCCTGAAGGGGACCTTGGGGCTCCTGGTCCTTCGTCCTCCTCCTTTTTTCTTTCCAGCCATGAGGTGAGCAGTTTTGTTCCAGCAGGTGCTTCTGTGGTGATGCACTACAGGGCCAGTGCAGTGGGCATTCATGGGCCAAAACCACCAAAGCTGTGAGCAGAAATCAACCCTCTGTCTTTAAAAGTCTACTATGTCAGGTATTCGTTCTGCCATGGTGGGAAAACTGACTTGCACAGATCTCATTTTTTCCACTATCTCAATAAGTCCATGAATGAGAATGTACCTCATTCTGTCAGGGCATTCTTTCCACAGCATTCAAATTTCATGAATCTGAGCCATGACGTCTGACAGTGGTTATCTTTCCCAAACAGTGGACATGTCAGGCTCTGTGTTAAGTTGGTGGGGAGATATTTTTAGGCAGAGGCAAAAGAAGCAGAAATTTTTGTGTTTGCCTGTGGGTAAGGCTGGCCATGGTCATTGTCTTTATATTTGGCTCTGGGAAGATGCCTGTAGCATCCGGAATGATACCAGAGAGATGAAGCCTGGTGTTCAGCTCAGCGGGCCAGGTGGGCAGGTGGGTGAAATGTAACTTTGTTTTGCCAGAGTCCTTTGTTTTTGGTAGAACTACTTCTGAGTCACGTGTATTAATGTTCATTGGTGAATTTGGATCTAGCTCACTCCATGCAATTGTAATAAAGCATTTAATTTTCTTAGTTGGGTAAACATGAAAGCTTTGGCTTTCTGACCATGCTGAATGATGAGGGCAGCAATCTCTTCCCTGTTTTCTCACAGCTGAGTTCCCTTCTCACAGCCTTTTCCTTTCCAAGCTGACTTGGAGAGTGTGGAATTGGACTGCTCGTGACAAAGGCAATGCCATAAGATGTGATCTTCTCATGTTGTGTTCCTGCTTACAAAAGTGATAAGTATTTTATATGCTCACTTCTGCTATGCTCCTGACATTCTAAGCTCTGACACCTGAACCACATTTTTCAAAAGGCTTTGTGGGGACAGTGATGTTCACTCCCACTTCCAGTGATGCAGAGTTCTGTGCGGTCCCATTTTGATGGGATGCTTTTGTGACGAGTGGGTACATGGTGCAGCGTGGCTTCTTGTGGTCCAGATGGTTGGGGTGTGTTGATACAACACAGAGGAGAACCAGAGCAGCAGGAAATTGGTATCTGAAGCCAATCAGTACAGATTGCTGTTTGCATGCCGCAGCGTAAAGAATAAATATTTTTGTAAGAAACACATTTAGAACTTGGATCGTGACAGAATTCTACATCTCAGTGTTACAAGGCTCATTTCCCTTCCTGGGTTTGATTTTCTGGATCCTTCTGGGCTGCAGAAGTTGTGAAACAGGTGAGGCTGGAGAGAAGCAGCATCCTCCAAGCTGTAAGTGTCTGTACCAATCGTGCATTAGCATCTGTGTGACAAGGCTCTGAGGGAGAACAGGACAAAAAGCCAACTGAAGTGAATTCAGCCGAATAAGAGAAATAGTAAAGGTGAGTCTAATGGCCTTGACAATATATGAAGCCACTTAGTTAAAAAGTAGTGGTAGTAGTACTAGTAGTAGTAGCAGCAGCAGCAGCAAGTACCTAAAGAAAATGTTGGGTGGAGCTGGGTGCTTTTCTAAGTGCTTTATAAACAGAGTTCCCCATCACCATGACGGCCTCATGAGGTGGCACCTTCCTGCCTCTTGCTCTATGGTGCAGGGCAGGATCTTGTGCCTGGGCCAGTTCTGCCCTGTGTGTATGCAGAAGTGACTTGTGTCAGGCCAGGCATGTAATTACTAATATTGGGCCCTGCTGAATGCTCTTTTCATTCGTCTGGGGAAACTGGCATTGGACCAGCCTTCTGAATAGCTCTAGAATCTGAGAATTTTTTCATAATACATTTTGAGACAAAGCCTCATTTGGTGCAATTCATTTAAAGTCTGACCACGCTATAGGAAGCTCCTATAGTGTGAATTTTCATTTGATTTTCTGCAGCAATAGTCCTGTTTTTAATTACCAGGATTGCCCTGGACCTCGAGGGGACGTTACACAACAGGAGGCAGATGCGCTCTAGCACGTTTCCAAATCTTAAAATTCAACTCCCAAATGTGTCAGGCCCCCGGGGCTTCCAACAGTGGTTGTGGAGCTCGGAAATTGCAGGCAATGAATTGCAGACAATGTTCAAAAAGAAGACTGAGTTCATTACCAAAGCTTGAAACACCATCACCAAGAGCAACTGAATGTATTTTTCCTGTAATGTGCTCAGATCTATTTTTTCAGATTTTTAAACAATTTATTTTTCATTGAAAAGAAGTGTCTCTGTTGTGTATAACGTGAAATTTTGAGAGAAGGCTACAGTGTAGAATGGCTAAATCAAGCTAACTAATACTGGATTGCTTCATGTAATTATTTTGTGCAGTAAGAGCTCTTAAAATTTAACTTCTTAATGATTTTCAAAAATGCAGTGCATTGTTTTTCATTCTAATCCCCATGCTTCAGACCTCTCAGACTCCTTCCTCCTATCTAACTGAACTTGTGTCTCCTGTGGTCGGCATCTCCTCAAACCAGACCCCTGCCCAGCTCCCAATCCCTGTTCCACTCTCTGCTTCCATGAAGTCAACCAGGTTGTGCATGTCGGTCAGATCTTACAGTTTCCTTTCTGTGCCTGCTTATTTTATGTAATACCATTTCTTCAGGTTCATCCATATTGTCACAAAGGACAGAATGTCCCCCTTTGTAAAGGTTGATCAGCATTCTGTTGTGTAGAAAGACATTTTCTTAACCTGTTCATCAGCTCATGGACACATAGACTGGTCCCATAATGTGACTCTTGGGAGTGAGTACAGGTATCTCTTTGACATGCTTATTGCATATCTTTTGGCTGTATACCCAGGAGTGGGATTGCTGGATCATATAGTGGTAG